TATATATATATATGTGTGTGTGTGTGTGTGTGTGTGTGTGTGTGTGTGTGTTTGGTGTGTGTGTGTTCATATATTTGTTAGTTATGTATTTATATGTGTGTGTATGTGTGTATATGCATGCATGTATATATATGAATGTGTATTTTTACGTGTGTGTATTTATATGTAATATGTTTATATGTATGTGTATATATGAAGTACAATTATACTGTACACTTATGCTGCATATTATCTTGATTTTAGTTTTTTTAATTGTTTATCTCTTACTTGCTTTTTACTGAAATGCAGTTTGTTTTTACTTTGATTTGAATTCTCTATTTCTGCGATGTTTTTCCTTTCTTTTACTATTTTGTTAAACTCCCTGATTTTTTTGTTTACCTTTGCGTTTCCTTTTTTACTTTTATTCAATTTTACTGTATTGTTTTTTTGATTAGTTAGTCTGGACGCACCACTGATTAGTGTGTGTCACTGTTGTGAAAGTGTGTGCCAATAAAAACTGAAACTGAAACTAACTTTCAGCGAATCATCGATAAAGGAAGTTTCAAACACAATAACTTTAAATTTAAGCCTAGAATGCTTCAATGCAATATCATATAAATACAATAATCAAATGGTTCAATATAGCAATTGTCATGGTGATTATCAATACAATTATAAGTGCGATAAATATAGTAGAATCATCTTATTTCATGAATATGTTCGCATGGAATGATTTAACAATTAACTAGGCCTAGGCTACGCCTACACGTACAGTAATGCGTACACCCGACTCCGTGAGAACTCCATACAGAGCAAAGGCAATACAGTACCCGTTTTATCTAAATTAAACAAGTCATAATACCACAATATTTCTCGTACTCGAGACTCCTTGATCATTATGAGTCTGAAGTTATAATCGCATTGTTGCGTAAACGGCGTTCCATAAGTGGTAGCCTGCCGTCGTGAAGAGAGGGAAAGTCCCATTCAAGTCCAGACGGGCCTGTTCGTTGCGTGCTTTCGGGCGTGCTCTAAGATTAGACTTCAAAATTAAAGTTGATTCTGACACAAAAAAAAAAGGTATTTGTTTTACTATTATTTAATGAGATACAAAAAGAGTTTAATTAGGCTTAATTTTTCGTTAAACATGGCTGTAACTTTTCTGCCAGGGCTCCTCCGGGCCAGGCCTAATAAGAGAAGAAGCTAGCCTAGGCTAGGCTAGTCTAGGAAGGAAGGATCGAATGCTTCGCCGTCGAAGCGGGTGTAGTGATGATAATGCTATAGACTTGACCTACAAGCGCCTAGCTAGAGGCATGGCGCCGGGTATTCCCCTGGCGCCTCCTGCCTACGACTCAAACCTTTAAGCATGTTTATTAGTATTTATCATTTGGCTTACATTATTTTAAGTATTGTACTAACCTTCTGCTTCTGGTGTTTTATTTTACATAAATTTATTTATTAAATTTTTGCAAATTTCTTAATGTATTTTTTTTTAACCATTTCATTTTGTCTTTGTCATTGGTGTGTCCATTTTGACTGCGTGAAATGAGCAAAAAGGATGCCTCCAGCTGAGGCGACTCTTTGTCTCAGCATCCAGGGACAGGAGGAGGAACAGCCAAACAGTGAATTTCTGGAGAAGGCAAACTAAAATGCATATAGGGTGAAAGTTAACCTCTAGGACCTAGATGTATAATAATATGCCTCTGACCGATTTGATTGTAATGTTTTTCATGATACCTGTATTGCTCCAATTGTTTAGAATGTCAGAATGAGTGAAGACTTAAGAAAGCGGCTTGAATTCAAAAACAGAGGTGTCCGAAATGCTGCCATTGAAAAAATCAAAAGCCAGATAATAAAAGGACTAGCAAAAGCAAAGAATGAAGGCCTTGCCGAAGCAAAAACTAAAAAGGTACTGTATTGCATAATTCTACAAACAGGTGCTAGTTAATCGAAAGGTCTACTGATTAATCTCTGATAAGATAGTATACATACTCCAAGTATGGAAATGCACGCCATCGTGTCGGAATTCAATATTTTGACAATAATTATGTCATCATCAACAATTTCTGATGATGACATAATTAATGTCGAAATACTGAATCCCGACACGATGGCGTACATTTCGATACTTGGAGTATGTATTATACTATCTTATCTGGTGCTAGTTATTAACATAATATTCCAGTAGGTCTGTGACAAACTTTTTCATTCTTCAATGCCCAGTTAGCAGATTCAGAAATTTGAAATAGAAGGGCTGAGTGATTAAATTTTACAGAGAGAGAATTTAGGAAATGTTATGTCTATGGCATGTCTAGAATGCCAGTAATGTCACCTTCAAACTCAAAATTTGAATTTAATTTTTTTCCCAACCCCCCTGTTTTTTAATTTTGAAAATCTGCTTAAATGCATCCACTTATTCATCCCAACATCTTCAATTTTACATGTACCATAGTTCATTGGGTATAAATAAGTGTGCCACATTAAACACAAAATTGTGTAGAATGTGGTGGATGAACTTATATCCGAGGACCGAAAATGCATATGATAGTGACCCTGCAGGTGGCTAAATATGTCTAGCCTAAATCATACCGTGAGTCAGGAGTCTGACCTCACAAAAACAGACGTGGAGATGTCTCGAGTTAAAACTGAACAAGGAATAGCCAACTGAAGGGCTTTAACTGTACTGTTATAAAGTCCTTTTCTAGTGCATTGCTAAGTTTTCTATGAATCCAAAATGGCATTGAAAAATTGTTCGACTTAGATAAAATTCGATTTACAGATTGGTAATTAATAAAAACACAACAATTTCGCATGTAAAATAAGATCAACTTAGAAATTATTCAAATTAGGTGAAGTCAACTTAGGCAAGTTTAACTATATATCAAACATATAATGTAATATCTGAAAAATACATTTTATTATTTTTGGACTTCACAGATTCCAGAACTTGAATTGCTTTGGGATCAGTGTCACAT